GCCGAGGCCCCCCGTCCCCCAGCCACACCTCCTGCCCTATCTCATAGGACGGTGCCGGGCGACGACGACGGTCCGCAATCCGCCGGTTTCTGGACGCCGTGCGGGACAACGCGGCCCTGGTCTCCCTCCACACGTGATGGGCCCGCTTCAGATGGCACTGCACCGACGGAACCTCCACCTGCCCCTCCTCGGACGGGAACAGTGGCGGCTGATAGCCGTAAGCAGACATGAAGGGCGACCGGCCTGTGGCTGAAGCGACGAGGGTGTTGTGCGCATACTCCACCCAAGGCAAGTGGACGGCCCAGGACGAGGGACGGTGGAGACACACACAACGAAGAGCCGCCTCTGGCCCGTGACAAAGTCAATGGATATGTGGGACCAGGGTCGAGGGGGAACGGGTAGGAGTTGAAGCAACCCCGCCGGGGGCCGGTGCGAGGCCTTACCACAGGCGCAGGCAGAGCAGGCCTTGACGAAGTCCACGATATCCCTCCGAAGCCCCGCCCACCAAAACCGCTGGGAGACGATATGCAAAGTCCGGTTCACCCCCGGATGGCAAGCCACCTTAGACGTGTGCCCCCACTGTAACACTTCTGAACGCAGTGGTGGGGGCACAAACAGCTTTCCCGCGGGACATCCAGCCGGGACTTGGATCCCGTCTTGAGTCTCCTGGATCCTCCGCTCGATCTCCCACCTCAGTGCCCCCAGGATGCAGTGGTCCGGGAGGATGGTCCCTGGTTCCCCGTCCTGTTCCGTGGGATCGTGGATCCGGGAGAGGGCATCAGATTTAGTGTTTTTTGAACCAGGACAATATGTGAGTGTGAAATTATAACGAGTTAACAGAAGTGCCCACCGGGCCTGACATGAGTTCAGTCTTTTGGCAGTGCGTATGTATGCAAGGTTCTTGTGGTCTGTGTATACTGTAAATGGCTCCTTGGTCCCCTCGAGCCAGTGTCTCCATTCCTGTAGAGCTGCCACTACGGCCAACAGCTCCCGGTTTCCCACATCATAGTTCGACTCGGCGGGACTAAGGCGACGAGAGAAGAAGGTGCAAGGGTGCAGTCTCTGGTCAACTGGGGAACGCTGAGACAAAACCGCTCCCACTCCTGAATCCGAGGCGTCCACCTCTACGACAAAAGAACAATCAGGGTTAGGATGGCGCAGTACAGGTGGGTTCGTGAAAGCTGTCTTTAATGTCGTAAACGCCGAGTCGGCGTCTGAGTCCCATTTAAACGGAACCTTGATGGAGGTCAACCAGGTTAACGGCAGGGCCTTCTGACTATAATTGCGAATAAAACGACTGTAAAAGTTAGCAAAACCCAAAAAACGCTGCAGCTCTTTACGAGTGGTGGGTGTCGGCCATTCCACCACCGCCTTAATCTTGACGGGGTCAGCTCTCAATTGACCCCTCTCTATGACAAAGCCCAGGAACGATATAGTCTTGGCATGAAATTCCCATTTCTCGGCCTTGACAAAAAGTCTATTCTGTAACAGCCGTTGTAATATGAGCCTGACATGCTGTTTGTGTTCCTGTAAAGTCCGTGAGAAAATCAAAATGTCATCAAGATAAACAAAACAAAACACATTCAATAGGTCCCTCAGCACGTCGTTGATGAGACTGAAACACCGCAGGGGCATTTGTTAGTCCGAAAGGCATGACCAAATATTCAAAGTGGCCTAAGGGAGTCTTAAAAGCTGTCTTCCATTCATCCCCTTCCCGTATGCGAATCAGATGATACGCACTGCGTAAATCCAATTTTGAGAAAATGGTGGCCGATTGAAGGGGAGCAAATGCGGAATCTAACAGTGGAAGTGGATACTTGTTTTTAATGGTTATTTCATTGAGTCCTCGATAGTCCACACACGGCCGCAATGACTTGTCCTTCTTTTTGATAAAAAAAAAAACCCAGCACCTAACGGTGATCGTGATGGTCTGATAAGACCTGCAGCGAGCGAGTTGTTGATGTATTCCCTCAATGCCTCTTGTTCAGGATGAGAAATCTGATATAGCTGGGAGCTCGGCAGCGGGGCACCCGCTTGCAGGTCTATGGCACAGTCGTAAGGACGGTGCGGTGGCAAGGAGTGGGCGCGATCTTTTCTAAAAACCTGTTGCAAATCATGGGAGCAACCAGGTACTCCATCTAGACAAATGGTTTCAGGGGGCTCTTTACGAGAACGCACGTGCCCCCCAGCGGCGGATCGCAAACAATGCTCATCACAAAACGGGCTCCATATCTCTATTGCAGGGCGATCCCACGAAATTATTGGGTTGTGAGTTTTAAGCCACGGTAAGCCGAGAATCACTGGGACGGCTCGCGACTGCATTAAATAGAATCTCCTATGTTCGACATGATTGCCCGAGAGTTTGAGCTTAACGGGTCCCGTAATTTTCTTCACCACCGCCAAAAGACGCCCATCGAGATCATGAACCCGTTTTTCTTCGTTCAAGTCCTCGATGTCACAACCTAATTCAGTGGCTATGCTGGTATCGATGAAGCAATCATCGGCCCCCGAATCTACCAAAGCCCAGATCGGCAGAACCTGAGACGGCCCGTAAATCTCTCCCTCCAGTTCCAGTCTCTTTGAGAGGCCTGAACGAGACTCGACTATCCTCGGCTCCCGATGTTCGATGCGGGGTCGTAACTCACAGTCATCGAGAGGCGTAGGTGGTTTGGATGTCCTTGGACAAGTGGCGACCCGATGCCCTTGTTGGCCGCTGAGGAAGCAGGTTCGGTCCTGGATCCGACGCCATCTCTCCTCCGGTTCCAAGTGTTCGCCTTCCAGCTGCATTGGCTCGTCCACGGTGGCAGTATTCCGTGTCCTGGAGTGGTCCCCGGACCCCGATGTCCAAGTCGTCTCGCGGGAAGCCCCTCGGAAAGCAGCATGCCGGTACGGAAACCATCCACCTGCGCGCTCCCGGCTCCTCTCCCTAATGCGGTTGTCCAGGACCAAGGTGATGTCAATGAGCTCCTCCAAGTTGGAGCTGTTGTCGCGGGTAGCCAGTTCGTCTTTTAGTAGAGTGTTCAACCCGCGGCAAAACAGTCCACATAATGCTCGGTCACCATATCCACTTTGGGCGGCCAAAATACGAAATGTAATGGAATAGTCCGCAACCGATTGTGTTCCTTGACGGAGCTCTAGCAACCGGCCTTCGGCCTCTCTTCCTTGAACGGGATGATGGAACACCCGACGCAACGCGGCAACGAAATCGGGGAAGGAAGACCGGAGGCTCGGCTTTGCCTCGCTCACTGCCAGTGCCCATGACGCCGCCTGACCAGTCAACAAGCTCATGACATAAGCTACCTTGGAATCGTCAC